CTTCACCGCGGCGAAGAAGGAATCTCATCGCAGCGACAAAAGAGCTGAATCTGGTGCGTAACTGGCTCATTTCGCCGCGGCGAAGCTTCTTGAAGAATTCTGAAATTACAGAATTGCCCTCCGCTTGCTTCTGAGTCCAAAAACTCCAAATCTGTCTTTATTCGCTCAAAATGTCCATTTTAACCTTAAACACGAAATTTAAGGAATTAAGTAGCAATTCAGGCAAAAATAAACTAAGAAGTATCTAAAATCCGACTTAAAAGCTTAAATAAACTAGTATAATCCTCGGATTATCAAGGGTGACGCAATCTCTGGCCATCGCAGCCCTGACACTGATATGGTCGAGGAGTTGGTCGATCAGAGCATCGACCGCGACCTCGTTCTTGGCGTCTGTCCCCTCGTCCTTTGGCTTGGACGGGCCAGGTTTACTTCCCCCTGGAGCAGCTATCACACCTACAGAAGTGGGCTTCTTCTTAGTCACGCTTTTAGATGCGCTCTTCTGAAGGCCGCCAGCATGCATGGCGACCTCTTTACTCGAGCCCCCATGAGGCTCGCTCACCTTTTTCTTCCTCGAGCCATCGTGCTACTTGGGTGCTTTACCTTTTCTCGAGCCTCTAGTTGGCTCGAGTGTCTTCTACACTGGCCCTTTAGGGGACCCGGTGACACTTTTCTCGCCAACCACCTTGGAAGCGGTCGCGGACTTCTTTGCGCTGGGGGCCTCCACCAGCTCGCCCCTAGCGCGCGTCGTGCCAGTGACATTCGCAGGCTGTTTTGTCACCGAGGCAGTCGACGCCTTCTAGGAATCCGTCGTTGCTGTCATTTTCTTTTTAAGGCCCTTGGGTTTTTCAGCCCACATGTCTGCAAGAAAAAAAAAGAAGGAAAACGCGTTAGCGATCAATTTGCATGGGAAATTGAACGCGAGCAAGCAAAAACTTGCCTTTCTCCAAGAGCACTAAAAATCTAGCCTCGTTCCTACAAAAGTTGTACGCCTTGAGGTATGGAAGCGTAAGAAGCTTGTGGATGTTGCGCGAGCTATCAAGAAGATCGTTGAAACGTCGCAGCCTCTGCAAGCTCGTTGCAGGGAGATAGTTCTGCTCGACGTTAACTGCAATGAAAAGAAAGTCAATTAAATAATGAAACTAAGTTCAAAATTCATCATCGCATACACAAGTGACCAAGGCCTTACTCGCTTCCGAAGCGGAAACGTTGCTCGTCCGGGCTTCGTAGAAGAAGAATTGGGAGTCCTAGTGTGGGACCTTTTTCGAGACATCGATCAGATCCTTGAAACTTACCTTCCTCGCCTTGGAAAAGTAGTACATTTGGCCTTGCACCTTTTTGAGCATGTACAAGTGTACAAGCTTCTCGACGGACGGCTCGCCTAGCTCGGCGATCATGTATGCGATGTATACACCGGTAATGATCAAGTAGGAGTTGGTTGTTAGTTGAAGATGGGTTATGTCGAACCTCTTCAACACTTTGTCAGTGAAGGAGTGTGGGGGGATGGATACCCCACACCTGAGGAGAGTCTCGGAAGTAGCCACCCATCCGGCTGGAGGGTTCTTCCAAGAATGTTCCCCTGGGGCCATCAGGTTGAGCTGCGGCACATAGGCTGCCCTAATGCGCTCAAGATCCCCGAGGGTGATCTAGAATTAGGGCTCTTTCCACAGCCTGTGAACTAGAGACGGTGGAGATTAAGCCAGTTGGATCGAAGCACGGTCGGACAAGCCGGTAGCGTTGGGGTCCAAGCTTCTGGTGACGAACTCTTTAGATATCTCGGGGGACACGTCCCCCAATACTCCCGAGCCAACTGGTAAGTCAAACATTCGGTTTATTGTGCAACTACTAGACAAAGACATGGTCAAAGCTCGACTTTGGGTACCTAAAAAAAGAAGCGAGTATGTGTTATAGCTAGAACAACACGGCGATCATTCCACATTCGCTCCCATCTCAGGCACCCAGAGTAGCTCGTGCAACACAATAAAGTCAAGCGACCTACCTAGGACACCGGCGCCTATCGCAGTTAAACCCTTTTTAACACCCGAGACCGCCGGAAACGCACCCCAAAAACCCTACTAAAATCTCAAAACAACCAATGTGGCCACTATAGTGGCCACCCTTTGGCACAAAAGTCAGAAAAGTAAGTAAAGAAGGGAAATAAATCTTATCGGATTAAAGTACACTGAAAACTTGCAAAAAAGTCTACCGCGACGACGAGAGAGCAACAGCAAGAGAAAAGCAAGAGGGTGGAAGAATTCTCAGAATAGTTGTTCTGAATATTCGCCACCTTTTATAGTGGTTTTTGCATGGAAGACGAGAGGGCGAAGTTCAATCTCGACCATTGAATCATAATCGATCCTAGCCTTTTGTCCGTCGAGCAATCTCAGCCTTTAGACATGGTCACGTGTCGACCATCCACGAGGTGCGACAAATCGTCGGAAATGATAACTGTCGCCACACGACTTCTCAACTTCGCGCGTGAATAGTTGTCATCGACCACGCGCGACGAAACTTAACTGACAAAGGCTGCCGCATTTAATGCAACACGACCACGTGAAAATTACATGTATACCCTGACCTTTTTGTATTCTGAGTTTTGATAAGTGGCGCAGGTAATAATGTCCAAGTGTGAGGAACGTCAACCGGACGTAAGATCGACCGTGGAAGCCCGATCGAGCATACTCTCAAAGACTCACTACTAAAGCTGAGCTTAGTGTCCGATCGAGTGATAGTCTCCGAAGCTCGGAACGAGCATCGAACACTAGGGGGCAGATGTTGTGTGTGGTTTTTCCACCAAGCTCGAGTCGACGCGAGGATATAGCTCGACCTAGAATGATCTCGGTGACTATGATTGATCAACCCAGCATAAGCTCATTGAGCCATAGCTCAACCTAGCACAAGCTAGTCGCAGAGAACCCGAATGATCATTCAATCAATTCCCAGATAACTTCAGATCCCAGATATTATGGGAAAGATTAGATTAACAACAATCTTTGCGCAATCTTAGCGCCTAATCGCGAGAATATCAGAGTTGCAGTCCCAATCAATTGTAATCCCTTTATTTTCGCTTTTTCCTTTATGTAAATCTTGTATATATATCCCCTAAAACGATGAGAAGGGGGATACCAAATTCTAGTTTAGAAGTTCTATTGTAAGCTCTCACAACAAATAAGCAAAACACAGTGGATGTAGGCTGTTAAACTTCGCCGAACCACTTTAAAAGTCCTTCTTGCCATTTATTTTCTAGCATTTTTGTTTACTCATAACTGATTGCCCATAATCACGCACACATCCGTTCTGATCCCGACAAGGTCGATCGGATCTTGTTGGTTGGTAAAGATTTTTGTATCAACATCATGCTATTACGTCATTTAAAATTAAATTATGATGAAGAGGTGCTCTGGTTCATCTTATTAATAATTTAGGAGGTCGGCGGCTTGGAGTTGGAGATGGTAAAGATGAGATGTCAAAAAGCCATGTGAGCACATGTACCACAGTATCAGTGTTATTAATTTGGTACTTTTACTTATTTAGGCATAGCCGTCAACTTGAAGCCATGATCTGAAGTCTGAACAATAAGTAATCTCCATTTGCTTATAAAGATTACGTTTATACTACTAACTGCTCTTCTTGTTGGATTAAAGAAAAAGTCACATATTCTATTTGCTTATAAGTAATCTCTAATAATTGCTTCTGTTTGTACTAAATATTGTTCTTTTTTCCCAAACTGTCCGCGGAAAGATTAGGCATGATCCGATTATAGAGGGTTGCTACCATGTGCACTAATTCAGCTTTAACAAAGGGAGAACGGCATTTTTCCACCCAAGGTTACCCTTTAAGTTTCAAAATGACACTTTTTCACCCTTTATTAGGTTATGTTATGTCTTTTGTTAATATTTTATTGAAAAAATAAAAATACCTGAAATATTTAACTTTATAAATTTTTTATTATTTTTTAATTAGCTAAAAAGTTAAATATTAAAAAAAAAATTGTTAACCCTACCTAAAAAGTTAGAAGTAATTCTATAGAATTGTTTAAAATTAAATGACCTTAATATTTATTTTTTTATAATATCATCAATATCTCATAACTATTATTCAATAATCTACTAAATTTATAATATAATATTTTTTATTTTTACTAATTAACATAGAAAATTAATATTCTTAATTAATGAAATAAACAAAGGAAATAAGATATCTTTACATTTGAATTAAAAAATAATCGAGTAAAAACTTTGACTTAACTAAATTTTAATTTATAATAAACTAATTAAGAAATAAACTATTTTAGGGTATTTTTATCTTTTCAGTTAAATATTAATAAAAAATACTAACAGAACCTGACGCAGGATGTGAAAGTGTTATTTTGAAACTTGACAGGTGGGAAAGTGTCGCTTCGCCAAACCTTGGGTGGGAAAATGTTGTTCTCTCTTTAATTAATTAACTTAGTTTTGTATTCATGATCGTTGAGTGTTTTATTGTACAAGTCTAGAAAGTCAAGGTCCTCCTGTTGGGAATGTAACGTTATATCAAGTGCTACACGGTGGATGCCCATGCAAGGTATACCATGTGGCAGTCTTCTATTGGAGTATAACTGGGTCAACTACCATCCAAAGAAATTAATGTCCCCTTAAAGAAAACAGTCGGTGCCATAAATCATAAACTAACCAAACCACGATAAGGAAAAAAGGAAGAAGAAGGAAATTAACCCATGGAAAGGAGAAATAGACAGAGTGGACATACGCTTTAGAAGTAGTGTATATATATACAAACATTACCTTAAACGTCTCTCACATTTATACATCCATCCATCCCTCATTGTGAAATATATAGATCACACACAACACAACTTTGTAAACCTCCAAAAGGCAGTAAATTCTGTAAAGCACTTCCAGCCAGCAAGATGTCGACGGTAAGCAACATCTATCCTTGAATCAGTCTATAAGATTAGCTTATAAAATAGGGTTTAATTGAATTGCCTGTTTTACTCAGATCACAGAGATGAGAGTACACATGGACTGCGCCGGTTGCGAGAGCAAGGTCAGAAGTGCTCTTCAGAAACTAAAAGGTATACATATATATCGCCAATCAAACACAATATATATACGCCACACCGACATGCATATTATTCATCTTCATTGAGCTGCGTAAACTCTTTTTTTGAACTAATCATTTTATTTCTCCTCAGGCGTGGAAGACATAGACATAGACATGGCAATGCAAAAAGTGACGGTTACCGGATGGGCTGAGCAGAAGAAGGTTCTGAAAACAGTCCGGAAGACCGGCCGGAGAGCGGAGCTATGGCAGCTACCATACAATCCAGATAATAACAGTTTATTTAATCAACACGAATGTAATGGTCCAGTGAACCACTATGCCCCCCAGCCTTCTTCTTCTTACAACTACTACAAACATGGATATGATAGCCAGAATGCCGCCTATTACAATTATACTGCTCAGTCTTCCGTCTTCTCTCATCAAACAGGCGCATCGTTTAGTGATGAGAACCCCCATGCTTGTTCTATAATGTGATCCATCAACTATTCAAAAAGAGTGATAAGTTATATTGTACCCTTTTTTATATTTTCCCCCAAAATTGATCTTGATTGAAGAATTGATAACCGCTTACAATAATACTATGTATCTCCTTTCATCTTGATCGAATCATGAATTCAAAATAATATATGAGTTGCAGAGTCCAGAAGCTGGAATTTTATTGATTCCTTAGCTCACAATATAAATACTAATTAGATGTAGATCTAACATTTTTTTTTTTCAATTTAACTATAAGTTCTAAGATGTTGATGCTAGATTTTAACATCAATTATTCACACGTGTAAAACGCTAAACTGACTTAGAAATTACACGTGAATAAAAAATGCAATGAAGCAAATGGAAGATGATTTTTAAAATGGTTCAGATGTTTAAAGTGAATCCTATGTCCACTGTTCTTATATATATATATAAGGTTACAAGAGGTCGCGTATAATGAACAGCGAGTAGAGGTACAAATGACTGATTATTCAGAGAGAATATCAAGTCAATCTCTTTCTCGTAAGTTATCTATGTTCTGAGAATAAAATGTTACAATCAAAATGCATGTTTTTTTTATCAGAATCCCAAAAATGAGAGGGGGAACCTTCTATTTATAGTAAAAAGATTTCAGGGTAATGATTACAAATCTGCAAGTGGGCATGTGTAGTACAATTCTTACCGCACTTCCCATTGGTTGATTACATAGGAGATATCCTTAAATTGCGTAGGGCTTAGACATGTGGGCGACTCCTATCCACTCATAGACAAAACCTGAGTCCGCCAAGTTGATAACAACCATACTTTTTCTGTCTTTGAACGATGTGACAACTCCTAGACGGCAAAAAACCTTTTTGAACTCTGATTGACGTTTGTTAACGTAAGCTCGCATCGACTCTGATTTTTTAAGCATACATATATATATATATATATGCTGAAAAAATCACAAGTGAATCGATATAAGATGCACTCTTCTTACTTAGTTGAACCAATCATTCAATTTGTCTTAATTACTATTGTTTGTAACTTGTGTATATATATACATGTACATACATGATTTCACTAGTTATCCTTAAACCTAGGTCAATTTTTAATCTGACAACAATACTTTAATATTTTTCTCGTCTCAAGCAAGCCCTTGTATGACGGGCAAAAAAAGTTCTGAAAATAAAGATAAGAGAATGATGATTCCTTCATAAAATCCAAAACATATAATGATTTATGTACCTCGCACATAGAATCCGAGTCAGTGCTCAACACGGCCAAGAGAAAATGACCTTTTCCCACCCAAGGTTTGCCTATATAGCACTTTTTCACCCAAAAATTTTTAAAATACCACTTTCTCACCCAAAGTTAATATTCTGTTACTATCTAAAGCCGATTTTGACTTATTCCAATGGCAAAAATTCTCTCTGTCACCATCATTTAAACCTCCAATCTCCTCTCTATAAAACCTCTCTCATTTTGGTACCTGATTTTTCGCTGATTATCGGCCACCGCAAAGGTAAGGTTTCCTGATTTTCGATTGATTTCCAACTGATTCTAATAGAGAATATTCAATCGGTCACCACTATTCGATCCATTGGTCTCCACTCTACAAAACCTTTCTCACCCTGGCTCATGGTAACTCATCAAACGTCGACTGAGAAAGTGAAATGTATTTTATATATTTAATGGAATGTAAACTTTGGGTGGAAAAGTGGTATTTCAAAACATTTTCTGTGGAAAAATCGTTAAAGCAAACCTTGAGTGGGAAAAAGTAATTTACTCACACAGCAAATGGCCAATCACCTCACAAGTGGCCCAATTTATCATATCTGAAACCAATTTTTTTTCAAGCCACCTCATAATATTACCATTGACTCGTCGCTGCTCACTCACGGCACTAACACCCCAAATCAAACAAAATGTGGCCACCAAGGTTACGTCAAATCCTCCGCTCGTTTCAGAAGGTGCTATTATTAGATTTTTCATTTACAATAATACATTGTCCCAAGTATTCATACAGAAATTAAGTCCAGGATTAGTATACTATAGTTTTTTCATTTAATTTATATAATTATATGCACACATTTTCAAAGTGGGTACAACAGATGAAAAATTGAGTAGCTTTAGATGGGTGTGACACTGTAAAATACAATCCCTTTCATTCTTAAATACGAGTCTCATTATATTCAAGCGAATGTAATGACTCGGCACCTACCATGTTTGATCTCTTGTTTCACCTACCATTTTGTCCAAACAATCAATTTTCTATTATTTTCAATTTCAAAAGCCCACCTACCTTTATACCATATATTTTATTTATTCCCGAATTATCTTATCAACTGTTACTATTTTAATGTAATTATCATTTATCCAACTACTGCCCTTAAAAAGCAATAGAAAGTGCCTCTTTTTAATGCCATTTATTTATTTAAACCGATAATATAAAATACACTGAGAAATACAATTCAAAAACACTTTCAACCAACAATTCTAATAATGAATTTGTGAAGTGGAATTGGTCCACGGCTATCCCAACGAAGGAAAGAAATGATGATTGGACCATACCATATACTCGACGGTAAAAGTACAAATTATTATTTTAATTCAATACTGGTAACGAACAATGAACGTGCCATGTTGTGATTCGCTGATTCTTGTCCTAATCCGCAATTAAGCATCAACTTAAATTCAAATAATTGTACTAAACGAGTTAAAACCGGAAATTAATTATATAAGTAAACAAAATCTCGAACGTAAAGACTTATGCAACAACACTGGTTCTAGCAATAGCAAAGAAAGAGAGAAGAATCTCTAGAGACCTATATCAAAACCCTAATCTCTCTCTCAGAGATCGGCCATGGCTTCCTCTAAAGATCGCGAAAACTACGTCTACGTCGCCAAGCTCGCTGAACAGGCTGAGCGCTACGACGGTTAGAATTCACAGCACTTTTCTTGCTCTTTCTCTGTGTGTTTTATTTTTTTCGGCTGTTTAAAGTCAATATCGATTTTAGTTGCTTTGATTTTGATGAAGTTCAAGGAAGGGAAAGTTAGTTGAAATTTTGTGTTTGCGGTTTTTTTGCTTTTAATTGTTGAAAAACACTTACAAAAAACTTGAATGGATGTTATTGAGTGTATTTTGGAGTTATGCATGGATCAACTGTTATACCTTTGCCCGATTTGACAAGAGATATCGCCTGAAAATAGATTCTTTTTGAGGCTCCTTTTATCTGATGCATACTACACTATTCTTTATTAGGATCTGGATTAAAATAATTAATAACAAAAATTGTAGCCTCTTTTTTTTTTAATAGAAAATAGCTTCTGGAAAGTTTTTTTGCGTCGATGAATTTCACCTGTGTTTCCGTGTTATGCTATGGTGAATTGCTCTCTGCAGTAGAGTGATCTCTCATCTGAAGATAAAATCTGTTTATTTGCTATATGTCCATATCTATAAATTAGAGAATTAAATCTTGTTATTCTTTGATTTATTTGTACCTGTTTTTTTTCCTGGACAATTGGGCAGAAATGGTGGATGCAATGAAAAATGTTGCAAAGCTTGATGTTGAGTTGACCGTTGAAGAGCGCAACTTGCTCTCTGTTGGGTACAAGAATGTGATTGGTGCTCGAAGAGCATCATGGAGGATACTTTCATCAATTGAGCAAAAGGAAGAAGCAAAAGGAAATGAAGTGAATGCAAAGCGGATCAAGGAGTACAGACAGAAAGTTGAATCTGAGCTCACAAGCATTTGCAATGATATTATGACTGTCATTGATGAGCACCTCATCCCTTCAGCATCTGCTGGTGAAACATCTGTGTTCTTCTATAAGATGTGAGGGATCATACACTGCCAAGGTTTTGGTTGTGTAATGTGTATGTCTGTTTCCAGAGTTTGAGGATTTTGTTCATTGATGCAGGAAAGGAGATTATTACCGATATCTTGCTGAATTCAAGGTTGGTGATGAAAAGAAAGAGGTTGCTGCTAATTCAATGAAAGCATATGAGGTACTATTGAACTCTTAATAACTTTTTACAGTCATGGTTTGAGTGTGTAAATAAACTAATGGTCACTCCCTTCTCTTTTTCCTGATTTATTTTGAGTGAACTATAGTATTGCCGCATTGTATAATGTTTCTCCCATTTGAAGTAAAGTTTATTTCTATTTTTATCTATTTGCAGAAAGCTACAAGTGCTGCAGAGGCTGATTTGCCTCCTACACATCCTATCCGATTGGGTTTGGCATTGAATTTCTCAGTCTTCTATTATGAGATCATGAATTCCCCTGAAAGGTTTGTAAGAAGCTCTTCTCGCTGTAGTTAATATAGAATTCTGTTCTTGCATCTTTTTGTTCGACATAGAAGCTGATTTTTTAATTCTCCCCTTGTTTTCTCAGGGCTTGCCACCTTGCAAAGCAAGCTTTTGATGAAGCTATTTCAGAACTGGACACCCTGAATGAGGAGTCGTACAAAGATAGCACCTTAATTATGCAGCTTCTTAGGGACAACCTCACTTTATGGACTTCTGATATCCCAGAAGATGGAGGTGATTTGTTGAGGACTTAGTTGCAGTTAAACTTTAGTTCAGATGTGTGATTACTCTTTGATAGTTTCGTTGATGAAGTTTTATGTTTTCTGATAGTTGCATCTAGATTTGGCTCTCTTTTTTTTTTTTCAAGTATGATTTCTTCAAATGATTTCAAGCTTCATTTGTTTTGAGACTTCTTGCTTATACAGTTTTCTATATTTTTACCTTATTTGATTGTTTTAAGGTATATGGATTTTGTGTTGTTTGTTCTCATGCGTGTGATAATTTGTGGAGACTAGTGTTTTTTGTGTTATGACATATTTGCTATGTCATCTCACAAAGAGTAAAACTTGGATATGTGGACTGATTTAATAGAATGAGATGCAGAAGGTATACAAATTTGCTATCTGTGAACTTGATGGAGATGATTGATTTTTCAATGTGCTATATGTTTACGTGAGTTNTTTTTTGGGTATTCGAGGTGTTTAGACCAGTTTGCGAGCACCTCAATTAATCCCTCGAGACGTTGAAGTTAATGACCAAATAAACCTTCAATTATTATCTCTTATTAATAATCCTAGGATTCGAATTTAAAATAAACATTTCCCTATCTTTCCCAGCTATGAATCTTTTTCATTTATAACTATTAACTCTTCTTCATCTTTTTGGGCCCTGGCATATGGCCTTAACCCATTATGTTTTTGGATTTTGCCCCGTAGACCTTGCATAAGTTTTTGGGCTTTATTTATTTTATACCCAACATAACCCATCAACTTGTAAAACTTATTCAATACATTTTACTGTTGTAAAAGAAGAGGGTGTCCATCCACTGCCTTTGTTACTTTGAGGCGGTGAAAGTGGTAGGGCTGTGCAAAAAAATTCGATATCCAATCCTAATCCATTCCGCTCCAGAAAAATTGGATATCCAAAAATTCGGATCGGATACGGATCGTAATTTAAAAAAATCTGAATATTCGGATCGGGATTGTTAAAAAATCAGATATTCGTATCCGATCCGGATTTTGCTAAACTACGTCGTTTTGAGTTTTAAAAATTAAAATAACCCTAACACTAACAGTCTAACACAAATACACAATTAAGTCAACTCTCTCACTCTCTGTCTCTCTCGCTCGAACACGCAGTCACGCACAGCCTCAACCAGTCTCACTCTCTCAGACCAGATCTCGTCTCAGTCTCTCACTGTCTCTCTCGCTCAAACACGCATAGCCTCTCACTCTCTCAGACCATATCTCATCTCAATCTCTCACTCTGTCTCTCTCGCTCAACTCTCTGACTCTCTCGGTCTCTCTCGCTCGAACACTCACAGCGGCACAGACACAGACACATAGTCACTCAAAACTCTCTCAAACTCAGATCTCAGTCTCTCTCGCTCAACTCTCTCGGTGTCTCACTCTCTCTCGCTCGAACACTCTCAGATCTCAGTCTCTCTGACGATTGAAGCCCCAAATCGATTGTTGTCACAGCCTAGTGCGACTGCCGCCACACCGTAATAGCCTGGTGCGATTTCGTGGTTCTTATTTCTTTATTATTGTTGGTGATGGTTTGTTAATGGTACAATTTGATGGGTGTTTTTGTTTTTATGTTGGTTTGAGTTTGATGTTAATGGCACCGTAATATGGTGCCTTCTCTCTTTGTCCCGGTTACAAACCTTCTATTGTTCATTAGTATTGATTTGCGTTTTAAACCTATTACAAGGTTCATGGAGGCTGGGTTTGATTCAAACTGGCAGAGGATGCAGAGGTGGGTTATACTTGTTTCAAAGCAATAATTATTGTTGTTATTTTTCACTGTTTGACATAATATTTTTCCTTTTGTGCAGTGATGAATTGGAGCACCTTGGTCTTGCTACGTGTTTGGGTGGCAAGGGGCAAGACTTGATGGTCAATCTAGCATTTACTTAAAAAGTCCCCTTGTTTTTCGCTTGCTGTCTTTTTCTTTTTAAATTGCCATATTATGGTGTGGTTTATTGTTAGCATGATATGTCCAAACATGATGATTGGTCCTACTTGTACTCATCCACGCGTTTACTTACTGTGATGGCGAATGGAGTGTAGAGGCTTGGCCTGATTACTCTTAAGGTGTTTCCCTAATTTGATGTAAATGCCACAGGAGCATTTCTGCTCTTTGGGTTTCCTCTGTGCTGCTTATGTTTGAAGTTCATTGAAACTACTTGCATCTTGGATTATTATTATTGTTCACTTTGATGTTGTTCCTATGAAATGTGACACATTCTAACTGGTGACGGATTGCATATGTCCTTGCAATATGGCTTTGGAGCATTATTAGCCTTAAGGATTGAATTATTTGATTTTAATAAGAAAATCTTAAAATTCGGATCAATTTCGGATATCCGATTATCCGATTTGAATAATCGGATATCCGTAAAACCGGATATCCACATAATTCGGATCAGATTCGGATCAATATATAGCCTGATCCGAAAATTCGGATCGGATCAGGAAAAGCCCTATTCGGATCGGATATCTGGATTTCAACAGCCCTAGAAAGTGGGGAGTTGTGACGACTATAAATATTCCCTCAATCCCTTTCATTCCAATCAATACAATTCATTCTTTTCAATCCAAAACTTTTGAGGGATTACGCAATATCAATCACATTTTTCAATTCTCTCACTTTAGTCCTAGTTATAAATTTACTTTACTTTTCTTGAGTTATTACTAAATAGCACCACTAAAATTGCAACATGTTATCAACACGAAAAACTTAACAAATGTAATGTTGCACTTCTATTGAAAGTACGTACTTTGACCTTACATGTGTTCTTTAATCTTTGTTTTTGTCTTTATGTCTAGATTTATTTATTATTATTAAAATTTTGTCTTTCTGGTTGGATTTATTTATCATTGTTAAATTTTGTCTCTGTGGTCGAATCTATTTATTATTGTTAAATTTTGCCTCTATGATTGGATCTATTTATTATTGTTGAATACCGCCTTCATGGACGGATATGTTTATTCTTGTTGAATACAACCTTTATGGTTGGATATGCTTTTATTATATTTTCGATAACCAATGTTAGTAATTATACTTCCATCTTATTTACGATAAATGAACTTGAAGTTCAATAAATAAATATCGTTTTAAAAGTTGAAGTTCTAAATACTAATTACAAGCATGAAGTTTGTAAAACAGAGACAAAAAATGGACCTGAAGTTCCATATCATAAAGATAAAGTTCTGTAAACATCTTTACCAATGTAATTTGTTTTTAGATGGACTTTGAAACTGAGACATCGGTATCCGGTAATGATGGAGACATTTGTATAGTAGACAGTGCAACAAAGCACACCATCCTTCGGGATAGAAAATATTTCTCAGGTTTGACCTTAACTGAGGTTAAAATAAATACTATATCAGGATCTGCAAACATAATTGAGGGCTCTAGAAGAGCAACACTCATGTAACCAAGTAGAACTAAATTAAATATCTATGATGCTTTATATTCCAGCAAATCCAAAAGAAATTTGCTTAGTTTCAAAGATATACGGCTCAATGGATACCACATTGAAACTTTAAGTGAAAAGGATGGAGAGTTTTTATACATCATTGCTAATATTTCATGCTAAAAGCATGTATTAGAAAATATTGAAATTTATGCAGTCATAAATTAGAAGTTCACTAATCCTGAACTTTTTAAAATTTGGCATGACCATCTTGGTCACCCAGGATCTACAATGATGCGTAGGATCATAGAAAACTCACATAGACACCCATTAAAGAACTTGAAGATGTTGTCACCTAGTGAGAGTGCTTATATTGCTTGCTCACAAGGGAAATTGGCACTTAAGCAGTCCATCACTAAAGTTGGTCTAGAATGCCCATCATTTTTATAAAGAATTCAAGGGGACATATGTAGACCTATTCATCCACCAAGTGAACCTTTCCGCTATTTTATGGTATTGATTGACGCATCGGTATAATGGTCACATGCTTGTCTACTATTTACCCATAATGTTTCCTTTGCTAGATTGTTGGCACAAATTATCAAATTACGGGCACACTTTCTTGATTACCCAATGAAAGCAATCCGTTTGGACAATGCTGGTGAGTTTACTTTAAAGACATTTGATGACTATTGTACTGAAAGCTGGAATGCATGGAGAATGATACATGTGATACTATAATATGTATATTAGTATTTTGCCAAAAAAAAAAAAAAAAAAGTCAATCAAATTAAAAACAAGTAAGGTATAACTTGTTACCTTAAGTCCTTAGCAATCTTGGAGACTTTTAATTTTAAGAGAAATTAAACAAAAGAGTATCTACACTAAGGTAAAAGAAGAATTAAGCCAAGAGAGATATTTAGGGTTTTTAAAATTTTTTTTGATCTCTTTTATTAAAATTGATATATCATTTTCTTTATATACGTAGCCTTGTAAATAATTCAAAAATTATTTTTGGACTTCTTTAAACAATTCCATAATTGTTTTGGAGTTGTAAATAATTCCATAATTATTATGAAGTTATTAAACTTCTTTAAATAATAACATTTAATCACAATTAACAATTTAATTCTTAAATTGTTTACATAATAATTTAACCCTTAAATTGTTTATTTGTTTACAATTACAACCCTTTGTTAAATTCAATTTAATATAAAGAAAATGATTAATATAAATAACTTTATTATCCTTTGTAGGTGTTAGCCAACCTTGGATAATCAACTCTCTTTTATTATTTCTCTATTCTCCTTAGTTTTTATGTGTGACCTCTTAGGTTCACTGTGGCCTAGCCATGTGCCCAATATCATAGTCTATTCTGATATGTTTTGTCATAATTCTCTATGACCAAAACTCCCACGGATTATGGTAGGCATCTAGCAATGCTCTATAACCCCTAAGTCACAATGAAGATATACTCCAACGAACCATTTCATAATCATATGCGCGGTGTAATCAAATCCTTTCGTTGTTTAATCCCAATTAAGAATGGATTCATGTTATGTCAAAATCATTATCTTAATTTTATTTCAAATTGACAATCAATACATATGAAATGTGTCACCATGAAACAACATTTCAGGTAACATTTTATATACCTCGGCCGAAGATTTCCCTTTTCCAATGTATCTTGACATTTGTCTAGGAACTTGATATGAATATACACCAAGTCAATGGATCCCACCTTGACTATCACTTGTTTTCACACATAAACAACAAATGGCCAAATCGACTTATTAACACATGACATGATTAGCCTCGTGTTTATACACCATATGAACCATATGTGTCTATATAGAATCCAACTGTGATATCTCAGGTCTAAGGATTAATAATACACTAGTACGATTTTATGATGCATCATTGACTACATTTTAAATGTCTATGTGATTTATCATAAATGACCATATTTGATAAACAGTTCACTAACCGCTTATCCATGCTAATGCCCTAGTGATATAACTTTTATAATCACTCATACTAATACCATCACATGATATTTAGTAGAGGCATTCAGCATGCTTACTATGTAATATTATTGCCTAATTAACATTACCTATGTAGGGAATATTTTGATGATTTTGATCTTCTAAAGATTTGTATAATCTAGACATTTCACATGTAATACATATATATGAACGAAGCAATAAACCGCATGTAAAATAAGAACACTTTCTTTTATTAATAAGATAAAAATGTATATACAAAATATATACATTAATATATATATACAAAACATAATACATTGGAACCGACGACATGATTGGTTCCTAGGACATATACTAACAAAACTCCTACTTGCACTAGAGTCAATCGGTGTGGTATATAATACCCATTTTCTCAAGAAGATGATCTGATTGCTTCTGTGTTATTGATTTAGTAAGTGGGTCAGCTATATTATCCGCTGAAGGTGTTTTCTGCACCAAAATTTCTCCAGCTTCAACAAGCTCTATCAAAATATGATACTTACACTGAATATGTTTTGATTTCTGGTGTGCTCTTGGTTCCTTTGCTTGTGCAATAGCACTATTATTGTCGCAAAACAAGGTTATCGGATAACTCATGTTCGAAACTATATCAAGTTCAGCTACAAATTTGCGTATCCACACACCTTCTTTTACTGCTTCTGAAGCGACAATATATTCAGCTTCTGTAGTGGAGTCAGCAGTGGTCAATTTGCTTGGAAATTTTCCAACTAATTGCTCCTCCACATCTGAATGAAAATCAGAGTCTAAGTATCCCTGGATTTTCAATTTTGAACCTCCATAATTCAGTATTAAATCTTTTGTCCTTCTCAAGTACTTAAAAATTGTTTTAACTGCTAACCAATGTTTCTCTCATAGATTTCATTGATATCTGCTCGCAACACTTACAACATAGGCTATATGAGACCTTGTACATAGCATTGCATACATAAGACTACCTACGGCTGAAGCGTAGGGTATATTATGCAGCGACCGTTTTTGTCGCTACAGTGATGGAGTGCGGCTTGGATGGATTGTTTTAAAGCCTAGTCTGAATTTGACTTATTCGAGGCATTTAATTATTTACTGATTAACCTCCAAACCCTAGCACTATAATTAAGGGTCTTTAATTACTTTTTAGAGATTAAGAATAAGAGAGAGCGACTACTATTTTGGATTTCAGAATTCTTCAGTTTTTGTTCACCAATTAGAGAAGTTTTTTTATTTTCTTTCTTGAACTCATGTTATTGAATACAATGTTTGTTTTTAGTATGGAAAGTATGAACTAAATTTATTGTCTAGGGCTAAGATGTAGCCCAATTTTATGAATATGCATTGAATTAGTTGTTGTTAATTTTTATTAAGTTTTGTTCTAAGTTTTATTATTGCACTCAATACTTTCAATTTTTAAGGGCCTGAGAGTTGAATGATTTTATGAGTTAGGTTGAGATTGAGAGATGAAACCTAATTAGTCCATGGTAATAAAACCATAGATTGAGTGAACGCTAGAGATAGGTTACCATGATTGGTGAGGCTCTGGTAAATTCCATAGAACTTAATGATCTTTTAACTTCTAAATCCAACTTAGAGATATTTTGGATTGTTGCTTAAGGGTTAATTCACTAATTGTTCGAGAGAAAGTTAGTGAAATATTAGGGAATTTGACCTTTAGAATAAGCTTAATTAGGTTAACGATAATTATCAATGCATATGATTAAATTGGTGTGAAATTTGTACCCTAAGTTTAGTCATATTGATTTTTTTTACCAAAGTATTAACAAAATTCTGCTTTTGTTTAGTTTTTAGTTAGTTTTATTTTCCATTAAACCATTCTTAAAATCTGATTAATCAAATAGTAATAAGATAGGTTAGTTTGATACTTGGTAGTAGTAGTTCTCTTGGGATTCGACACTCGTTATTCCAACTTTATTAGCTATGCAATTTTATACACTTGCAAATAGCTTGTAAAAAAGACTTAGTTGTGAGTGAGGTGGTGGCTGGTGAAGAAACATACAATTTATATATAATTGTTTCATGTTTGTTTAAAGAAGTGCGAATGTTATGTTTGGTGAGAAAATGTGGTTAATTCTTTTTAGACAGAGATTAAAAAATTGGATTAGTAGAATCTTAGTTTCTTTTCATAAATTGAATATTCCTTAATAGCATGTGCTTAAAATTTTGCTTAATAATATCATCAATTCTTAGTTAAATGCATGTTAGGGTTCATAGTGCTTTCTTTTTCTCATTCTTAATATTATTAATTTGTTCTTGCATTTTATATAAAGTTTTAGTGGTAATTCTCTTGGCGTTATTTTGTCTTTCCTGATACTGTTCCTAATTTATACATACTATGGCTTTGGGCATGCAGCTATTGAATCGAACTCAGAGGGGCATGGTGACCTTAGGTATGATAAGCTGCATGATGATGCAGGTATGAAGAAAAGAAGGGAGAGCCGACAACTACATGACAACAAACGCTGACTAATAGACCCATTTTGGGATATTGCACATGATGAAAATGAAGTGGTGGCTAGGGCGGTGGCGACGACAGTGGTGATGGTGGCGGTGGTGTTGATAGTGACGATTATGATTACTTAATCAGATTAGGTGTTCCAAGTGACGTAAATAAATGATAAGAGTGAATATAAAAAAATTATCCAATAAAGGTCTAAGGATGTGTATTGTACATTATATGCAAATTTGAATCAAAATTTAATATATGATGAATAATCTTCGGTGGAATGATGCATGATCGGTCGAATCTGACCAGTCGTGCATCGATCTTGCCATTTTCAACTAGATCCACCATGATCTGGCCTGAAACGGCCAGATTTTAGCCGTCGTCGACGACTTCATTTTTGGAGGGTATTTTTGTTAATTTTTAAAGTTTCATTGTGAGGGTGTTTTTGTTGATTTTTAAACTTTTTTTTTGGGGGGGGGGGGGGGGTGTTAGCTAAATTAATAAATATAAGGGGTTACACAATAATCTAAATATTTTCAAAAAATGTACCAAACAACTATTGAGCAGTTTATCTAATATAATTTTTAAATATTATACCAAACACGTTCTTATAATCTCGTCATTTTATATTTAATCAAACTCAACTCAACTTAAAATAGTTTTTCTAAAATATCATATTTCAAATAATCTACCAAATAAGCTCATCATATTACTCTTACATTCATTTTCTATCATATCACTTTGTATAGAAATCTTTGTAAGATTTATTTGTACGTGTAGTATTACTATTATTTTAAATCATGATAATAGACGATACCATACTTAGAGTATCTTCAAAGGACTCTTTATATAACCTAAACTCTTTATTATAAAGAGTCTATCCATAAAAACAAAAGTCCAACATACTCTTTATCTTTAAAATATAAATTAGAGAGTGAGTTTGACTCTCCATATTTAGATAGTCAAATTTCACTCTCTATCCTAATTTTAATTAATAAACTACAAGTTTCTATGCATTTTATTTATTAATTCTCTCTCCCATTAAGTCTCTTTCTTAAAAATAAAGAGTATCTTCATTAAATTTAAAGAGTCTATTGGATTTGAATAAAAATTGTGTTATTTATATTTAAAAATTAATGAAGATACTCTTTATTTATATGAAAGATGTTCTTCAAAATAAAGAATACCATTAGAGATGCTCTTACAAGTTACAACCCAATCTCACAAACTTTCTCTCATTTCGTAATTGGTCAGCTCGTAAATGGGTCTCGCTTGTTTGATATAAGTTTTATTTGCTTATTTACGAATTAACCAATTACAATCTACTAAGTTAAGGTTACTATAGAAAGTTTGTAAAATTAAATTGCCCATAAATTTTGATTGTATGATAATTGGTGTTAAACCGGATCAGACATTCATATTTCATACTCGGGTCATCACCAATCTGGTCAGCCCGCAGATAATACTTGGACTTTAAAATTAAAAAATTAAAAAATAGTATAAAAATCTAAAAACCCCACCATTTGTTCGATCGTTCGCCCGGAATATATTGAAAACAACGAATCAGTGGCACGGTGGGACATCAGAAATGCCACCAGAGCCCCCTCCTTTCCAGGAAGCAGCACGCTGCGACGTTTGCAAATGCAGCTTCAACACTTTCCGGCGTCGGGTACTTTTTTTCTTTTTTCTTTTTTATCATTCCTTCAATTTAACCAGCTTTATAAATGCTTATTAAGTATTAGCCAATTTATGTTGATGGATCCGATAGATTTATTACGTTTGTACACAATCCAAATTTTAACATCCAAATAAAATTAGAACGTCTGGATTTATTAACAGATTGCTGTGAACTGTTGTGATCCCATAAATCTAAAGTAAACGTTGAATGGCTTTTGGATGCAATTCTATTGTACAATTGGGACTGAACTCTTACTCTTTTTTGTGTGGCAGCATCATTGTCGATGTTGTGGCAGGACATTGTGCCATGAACATTCTGCGAATCAAATGGTTTGAGTTTGGGAATTTAAGTGTATTTTTTGTTTCTGAAATTGAGCATATGTTTATTCTGCTTTCTGTGATTGAATTCAGGCTTTACCGCAATTTGGCATTCACACCGATGTGAGAGTTTGCGCTGATTGTTTTAATAATTCTTCTCGGTAAACCAATCCTGACAGACCTTGATAGTATTTCTATTAGTTGTTTTGTTGATTTTTTACATTGTGGTATATTTTCGGAAAACTTTCATGTCTTTAAAATAGGATAAGATACTTGATATAGAGCATGCCCGCATTTTCTTAGGCTCTTTTTGCCGATAAAGGGGAGAAGGAAATGATTAGTTACAGCTTTGAATTTGTTTTCCCTTTTGTATGTTCTCAATCCTAGTTAGTTTGACTGGAAAATGGCTTCTTATGGCTAGCAAAACTGGATCCCCTCCTAGTTGCAGGGAAGGAACTAGACAGCTTTTTACTAGGAAAGAATTTATACAATTAGTAGATACGAATAATATTATACAGTAAATTAATGCTTAAGTTTTATAAGCCTTCAATTACCATAATCACTCATGTATCATCATTATCTACTCAAAACAGCTTCAATTGTGTAAGTGTACAATGCATTTTAAGTTAATGCTTAATAAATTGAAATAGAGCAATGCAAACACGTGTGTGATCCAGAATTTATATAGGGCTTGGCTTTTTTTTCCCTTCTTTTGATAATGTTTGCTAGAAATTTCTTTCATCAAACTTCAACTATACTTGAAATTTTTTTAAAACTTATGAATCTAGGTTTGGAGAAAGAGGGAGAGAAACTTTTAGAAATTAAAGAATATACATGAAGGATATATAGATTGATGTATAATGAATTTAAAAAAAGGTATACTAAAGTAAAAGCCCAAAATCTCATGTGCAAACGCAACTTAACCATTCGAGAAAGACATGCAAATGAAGAAACGTACAATACACATATACTATTTAGATGATATGAAATTAAGTATCTATGTTCATCTAAATAATTACAAATTTCTTGGGCATATCTTATTTTAGTGTTGTAGAAATTGAGAACTGTTTTCCTCTCTTACTCATTTGAGGATTTTTTTTTTTTTTTTTTTTTTCTCTTTTTGCTTTATTTTATGCACCCTCTGTCTCTAATATCCTGTTTCCTTAAACCCTTAGGAATCTGGTAAAATTTTGCTTCTGCAGATTATTAATAACTAGGATTGAGTGTTTGGTTTACTTTGTTATGGTGTTTTAAGAAATATAAGATATCTGGAAGTAAGTTTTTCATTTTCACTAGATCACAGATGACCTCATCCTAAGGTTCGGAAGTTATTCATGAGTCAGCTCTTTCTTCTTCTTTGTTCTTTGAGATATGATGTTTGTAGCATTATTCTTCTGCTTTTTGACTCAAAATAAGTTTAGTGGCAGCATTAAAAACATGTAAGAAAAAGCAAAACTTAGTTGGAGTGTTTAGTCTTTGCTGGCAATCAATGATTTTGAAGCAAACTCTAAAGATTTAGGGGATGTGTTTGTTTGTTATGAAGGGATTTGCATCTCTGTGCTTCTGACTCCATTAATATACTTAGCTGATTTTTTGCAGCAAAGATAAGTCTGTTAAAATAAAAGCTACAACAATGACAGTCTTCCATAAAAAAGGGACAAGCTGTCCCAAAACCCCCAAGGTCCAATAATCTATACAAAATGGGAAAACATCTCTTGTTCCAAAATAATGAATGCTAAAAATAAAAAACCAATAATCAAATTTTGCAGAAAACTTCCAGCTTTTGTTTTTCATTCTGCTGTTACTCTGTTTTCTTGTTGTTACTGTTGACTTTGCTACCTCCTGCATGTTGGGTGCAATGAAGAACCTTTCTGTTGTCTCATAAGTTTTGATTTCTTGTACAAAACTAACAATTTGGTGGATTATTTTGCGAACAGAGCTGCGAATGATAACCTTCAGACTCTCCAGATGGAATTAATCCTGTAACAGATACATTCGCTAGATTAGACATAGGTGCTGATGGGGATGAAAAGATGGAGACAGTGGTGGAGCATACCCTGTTTCAGGCGTTGTAGAGTGCAAGTGTGGGATGCCGTTGTGCATTTGTGAAGCTCCAGCTCCAGCTCCAGCCCCAGCCCCAGCCCATCCACTGAGTGCACGTCCCCTGCCGGTATGATTCTACAATAATTTTATATTTGTTCGTGCTTCTTGCTACTCACAGAATATTATTTGATGCAGATGAAAAACGCTTCTAGCTCTACGGCTAGTCAAATCGAAGCCAAAAAAGACAGACACTGTTCAAGAAATAGAGGTTCCACCTCAAACAGCAAAGTTAGGTATGTATCTCTGGTTTTGAGTCATTTCTGTTCTTCCAGGACATGAATGAATGAGTTTTTGCAATAGATATTGTTCTCATAAGTAGTTTGTGAGCAGGTTAGAATCAAAGGTGAGTAGTTTAGTTATGAAACAAACAATCTGTTTTGAACCACAACATCATATAATCGGCATGACGTGAGAATCTGACTAGGGTCCATTGATTTCAATGTGATAGCAGAATGGTTACTCCGAAGTCATTATGGTGCATTATCATTCAAAAGTTCTGTGTATTCATTCCTGTAGAGTGCTTCTTTTTACCAATTCTGTTTCTGTTCAGTGCAAGCTAAAGTTCATTAAGTGGTGTCATGGGCTTTCGGTTTGAGGCATAACTGGAGTCCATGCATGCTAATCTCATGATTATCTTATGCTTTTCAAGTTCAAGTGGCCCATATTCTCAACTTTATTGCTTCAAGTGCAGAAATATAATTTTGTTTGCAATTGTTTTAGACCCAAGTTTTGAATATGAGTTTTCCTCTTCCTCACCAATTTACCATCTCAATTGATCATCTTGCTTAATGCTTTTCTTTACACCTCCAAAACAAACTCACTAATGTCCAACTTCATCTGTGGAGACCATCATTTCACTTCAGCATAGGCACTAGGATTTTCTCTGATGCAGCAGGAGAACTTGCCTCAAACTAGGATATTGGGCAATCTTCTTTGTATCTATTTCACTTTCAATGGATGAGTTTTTTCCTTCTTCTAACGCTCATTACTCCTTTCATATTCAGTACTTTCTTTCCTCTATTATTTATATGTAAAGCTATAATGTCTTTATTTTGTTTTACATTGTACTTTGTAATATGGAGTTCAATGTCAAATCTGCTCATAAAACCATGTGGCATTTTTAAGTGTGTAATTGACTTGTACAAACTTGGCAGTTCTGTTTTCAATCCTGGTCAGTGACGCATATTGCCATGGATACTCCTCAGATGGATTATGATGTCAAAGGAGAGGTAAAAACAAGATTTTGCCTTAGAGGTTCAACTTTGCTGAAGTATTTATTGGCTAGATCATTTTATTTATGCATTGTAATTGTAAATGCATGTACTGTCCTTAGGGTTTAAGAAGAAATAAAGAATGTAGATACTGCTGCTGTCAAGAAGCTACTGAGTGAGGTATTTGTTATTGTGTTTAGAACTGTCATTAAAAAATTACTTAAAGAGGTCAAGTCAGAAAATAAACTTAAAACATTGACAATGGTGGCAGGGCGGTGGATGCAAATTTTATTACAAACAAGGAATGTCTCTGCTACATCTAGTAATCACACTTCTCCCTTTTTCTTTCTCTTGGTGTTGCAGTGCATCACGTTGCATGTACATGTTTCAATGTGTAGCACTCTCAAGCATGAGTATGTTTGCATGATATTGATTCTTTACTTTAAAAAAGTGTATCCTGCAAATTGCTACGTGATTAATGTGGCAGGCGGCACTTTTTAATCGAACTGATATAGCTTTATCTCATGGAATGTGGGCAAGCATGGACTACAGGAATGCACAAGGTATTAATATCATTGCATTAGTATTGATTATATTGGGTTATTGATTTGTGGAGGTAATTACTAAAAACAGTCATGGCATGGCAATAATGGATGACTAGCTGAAATGTCAGTATGTCCACCCAAGAAGCCAGATATGTTTAATGTTCTTGACAGTACAAAACCGGCTAAAAATCCTCTACTGGACCAATCAAAATATTTGGGACTTTGGTTTGTTAGTCTAGTTTTTTCCTATAACACAATGTCACCTTCCATCTTTATACGAATACTTTTACAATTATTACTGCTAGATTATGGTTTAGTAGAGAACATGGCAGTGGTTCGCTTAAGTTGTGGTGTTGGCTGTCGTTGCTTTGGCTTTCTTCTCCAACTTCAACTCTTAACTAATTTCCTACTATTTCAGGGGAAACACCTCTGGATTGTGCTCCAGCCACTTTGCAGTACAAAATGCGTCAAAAGATCGAAGAGAAACAACTGTGAACAAGCCACAACAACATGAGAGAAATTGGTTACGCAAGTTGTCAGTTTCGCTCATGGAATCGTTGTATACAAGTTCTGCCTGGATTTTTATGATATACAGATACAGGCGCAACTCCTGGAGTGTGAATCAGAGTTCATTTCCAAGGTAATAAAAAAAAGTTATCAATATTCCTGCGGCAAAGGAGCAAATATTTGTGCATGACTTTAAGTGTGTAGTGGATGTGTGAAATAATTTTTTAAGCTTGACTTTGTATATACAGATAAGGTGGAACTTATATGAGGCTGACCGCCCCTTATCATTTATATTTTTGATATTATTCTATCCTTTAGAAAGTATCATCTTCATCTGGATGTGTGTTTGCCGAACTTTAGTCTTGTTTAGATTCGAAGCTTTCTTTAACCGGTGTGGTCATCCATATTTTTAATTTAGGGCTGCCTTTTTCATTCTTTTGCTAAGATCAAGAACATCATGGATAAGATCAGTCGATTCCCCACGTTTATATTTATTTGATATATAGCTGAAGCTGGTCAATGTAAATAAATGTCGGTGTATTTTCTTGACTAATGGAATCTGGGGAAAGTTTATGCCTAATCTGCTGGTATAGTCCTTATCCGAAACATATAAAAAAATTTAAATACTGTTGTTATTGTGATAGATATCTGAAATTAGAAAGTTTATGTCTAATGATCTAATCTGCTGGTTTAGTCCTTATCCGAATTATACAAATAAATGTAAATACTGTTGCATTTAGTTTTGCTGTTATTGTCATTCATACATAGATATTAGAAATTATGTTTCAAGCATGCA